AAAGAAAAGAAAAGAAAGAAAAAAGAAGAGAAAAAGAAAGGTCAGCTTTTGATGGGAGCCAATGGTAAAGTGACCAAAAACAGAATGAAAATATGGAGGACAAATGGAATGTCCCAGGACAGAAACACAGACACAGAGAAATGTGCCCAAAGTACAGTGTTCTGTATTTGGACAGGTTGTCCCTGTCCAAACCCTAAAGTTAGCAGCGTCCACTTTGAAAGCACGCTGACCCGGGTTTAAATCTATGCTTACCAACTGTGTGACCTTGGCAGGTGACTTCGCCTCGTGCGCCTCAGTCTGCAGGTCTGAACGATGGGGTAACAGCAGTGCTTACCTGACAGAACTGTCGCTGCCGACACATTTGTGCGGCCCAGCCAAGCGCGGTGGGCGCCCAGCTGCTGCTGCGGCTGTGAGTAATTTGTTACTAAGAATAGTTAGCGCCCCTCTCCGGGCCTGCGTCTCCGAGCTGGCCGTGCGTACAAGACGAGGTTGGACCCCCGTCCTGGGCGCTGGCTCGGACTCGGTCCCCAGACCCCGCGATCGAGCGCCCCAGCCAGGCCCCCGCCCCCACCTCCCGCTCACCTGGGCCGCGGCGGCCCGGGGATGTGCTCATAGCGGCTGCGAGCGCGATGCACGAAGGTGCAGCAGAGGCCGAAGGCGAGCAGGACGGCGCTGCCGAGCAGCAGCAGCCCGGGGCTCATGGCTCCGGGCCCGGCCGGGTCGGCGCCGGGTGCCGAGGGGGCCGGAGGCCGCGACCGACTAGCTGTCAGCGCTGCGCGCCGCCTCGGCCCCAGGCCCCGCGCTCACCAGCACCGCCCCCGCCGCTCGGCTCCGCCCCCGCCGGCTCGACCCCGCCCCGGGCACGCGGACCCGCCAACCACGTCTCCGCCTCCGGCTCCAGCTCTCAGGACCCGCCCCCGCACAGCCACGCCCTCTTTGATGCCCCGCCCCAGCTGCCACGCCGTTCCCGCCCAGAGCAAGAAGTATCCACCAATCACAACCTCGCTTTCGGCTCAGACTCCGAGGCCCCGCCCCTTCTGCACTCCCTTGGGTTCTGACTCCGCCCCGAAATCGGCCCCGCCCAGAACGCGTTGTCCTGGCAACCTCGCTTCCTGGGCGCAAGCTGCCCAAGCGGCGGCGCAAATCCAGTCCGCTGGCTCCGCCCCTTTGGCCTCTCCAAAAGCCTCTCCGCGTGCAGTGCCGGGCCTCCTTCCTTTCCCGTGTAAACCTTCTGGCTACCCTGTCCCAGCCCTCCAGTCTCCGTCTTACGCTGACTGTTCTCAAACATCTCCCTGGAACCTTAGCGCCCCAAAGTTAGTCAATCCCAAAGGTCCTCGCGCTGCGCCTTCATTGCAGGTCGGTGCAAGCCGTCCGCCCGCCCGCCGTGTGCCAGCGTCCGCCCGGAGGCGGCGGACAAGATCCTAGCAGGATGCAGTAGTCCCTAGGCCCGGGAAAACGCTAATCCTGAGTATGGGTGATGGTCCTAAGGAATGTGCTGGGATGTGCTCCTCCTTCTCACTCGGTGGGAGCGCGAAGTACGCCTCAGGCGTCTCACTTCCGAGTTTCAGTTCCCGTGGGGGACGCTCAGTTAGGCCTGCAGTGCATGGGAGGACCAGATGTGCGCTCTCCTTGACTAGATAAAAAGCCTCGGGATTGGGGAGTAGGGCGTTCTAAGACCGCAAGAGAAGCTAGAATTCCGACTACTCCACCTTGGGTAGGTCCTGGAGGGGTCTGAAGATAGGAAAACAGGAAAAAAGTGTGGACGGTGTGCCCACATTTCCGGGTCAGACCCCGGGAGGGACATAGCAGGGGATCCGTGAGCTGCAGGGTGACCGGGAGAGGTTTAGGAGCTGTGCTTGATTTCGGTCTGGAGAGGCCACCTCGGCCTGAGCAAGACGGGAAGCCAAGCATCCAACCGGGGACTGGCCTCTCGGTGGCATTGGGGAAATGTGGCTTCCCACCGCGCCCCCGTGTGGTAGCGAGCGGCAGTTGCAGGTGCGCAGGCGAGACCTCTGGTGGCCCTGCTTGGGGGCAGAGAAAGGTCAGCCAATTTAGTTTAGCCAAGTGTGAAAGCTCTTGGATTGGGGGTTGGGGGGCGATGTGAAGGAAGAGCATGAGACTGCGAGCAGGGGTGTAGACTTCTTCCTCTTTTAGGCGAGTTAAAGAGAGTAGACAGAAAAGGACGTGGGGCACCGTGGTGCTCACAGGAGGATCAAAAGTTCTGGGTGTGGTGGTGCACACCTTGAATCTCAGCACTCAGAAGAAAGAGCAGGCCGAGACTATACAGAAACCTTGTCTCAAAAATAAAAAGTTTTAGGCCTTCAGAGTTCAAGGCCAGTCTGGGCAACTTAAGACCCTGTCCTAAAAAAATTTTTTAAAGGGGTAACAATCTAGCTAAGTGGAAAGGTGTATGTTTGTAAATACACGATACAGGGTCCTGGGTTCAGCCTCCAATTTTGGGAGGGTGTGTGCAGAGCAGAGAGGCATGCATGGGCACTTTAGGAGGGTGGTTATGAACCCCCTCCCTGAGCTTAGCAGACATCCTAAGCTATGCGGACTTTACTTTGTGTTCTTTGTCTGTCAGGACTCAGAACAGAGACTCCCTGGATGTAAGGTCAGATTCTGATGGACTCTGGGTCAGTCTGAGATGCCCCACACGGGACAGACTAAGGAAAGGGAAGGCAATAATGTTCTCTGACACGTCAGGCAATGCTAGTGACCTCTGCTCTGCTGGGCCAGCTCACCCCATCATTTCTGTCCCTATTCCTGGCTGGAGTGTGTCAGTGACCTATCCCAGACCCCACATCCACTCTGTTCCTATGCCTGCATCCCCATGATGACCCTAACTAAGTCTCCTGCAGTTAGTTGTGGAATACAAGCTGCTCATCCAGACCCTAGGTCCCAGGGCTGACTGACTGTCCTTTCACTGAGCAGGTGGCCAAATGACCTGCCACCTGACTCTTCCCTGAGGTCTCCACTGGTACCAGCCAATAGGGTAGCTGCAGGACACATGACATTACCACTTGAAAGAGGCATAGCTCAACTTGGGATAAGCACTGTATAAAATATATACCAGATTTTAGAAATTTAACAGCCAGAATATGTGTGAGTGTGTGTGCGTATGTGTGTGTGTGCTAAATATTGTGTGAAATACATACCAGATGTCAGAAATTTAATAGCCAAAATATGTGCAAGTGTGTGTGTGTGAGAGAGAGAGAGAGAGAGAGAGAGAGAGACAGACAGACAGACAGACAGACAGAGAGAAGCATTGTGTGAAATGCATACCAGATTTCAGAAATTTAATAGCCAAAATTTAATAGCAAGTAGAGTGTGTTTGTGTGTGTGACAGAAAAGGGCACCAGGTACTTTCTTGCTAAGACCACCTCTTCCTTTGAGACAGAGTCACTCCCTGAACCTAGGACTCAGATTTTTTTCATCTAGGCTAGAATCCAGCAATGGCCAGCAATCCTGTCTCTGTTCCCTCTTGGAGCTGGGTTCCAGATGTGTACAGTACGCTTGGTGTGTTAGGTGGGCACTGGGATTGTTGTGCAGTAAGAACTCGTAACGGCTGAGCCACCTCTCCAGCCCTGCAGAAGGTCCTCTTAAGTCACTGATACTTTACTGTGCATGTAGCAGAGATGCCCATGCGGTTAGAGATCAAAAAAAGATGGCAGTAGCTGTCAGTTCCTGGCTGCTTCTTATTTTCTGAGACAAGGTCCCTCTTTGGCCTGGAACTAGCCTAGGCTAGCTTGCCAGTGATTTCCCAGGGGTTTGTCAATCTCCAGCTCCCATCTCACCGTGGCTGGGATCTCACGTGTGTACCACCACCCCAGAGAAGTTATTAATATTTTGTCAAGTATTTGTGTATGGGTACCCATGCATATTTATGTGGGTTCTGGGGTCAAAACTTTATCAATAGGGTCATCTCTCCAGCCCTGGTATTTTTATATTGTCTGCATGTTAAAATATTTTGAATATGTTGGATTAAATTAAATATATCAAAATGAAGAGGGACTGGAGAGATTGATCAGCAGTTAAGAGCACTGGCTGGTCTTCTAGAGAGGATCCAGGTTCCATACCCAGTACCTACATGGTGGCTCATAACCATCTGTAACCCCAGTTCCAGGGATTCTGATACCCTCTCTGGCCACAGCAGACACCAGGCACGTGAGTGGTGCATATACATTCATACATGTAAAACACCAATACACATAAAATATATTTTGTTTGTTTATTTGAGACAGGGTTTCTTTGTGTAGTCTTGGCTGCCCTAGAATTCAATCTATAAACCAGGCTGGTCTGGAATTCTAAGATCAGTCTGTCTCCTGAATGCACCATGTCTTAGTCAGGGTTTGTATCCCTGCACAAACATCATGACCAAGAAGCAAGTTGGAGAGGAAAGGGTTTATTCAGCTTACACTTCCACATTGCTGTTCATCACCAAAGAAAGTCAGGACTGGAACTCACAAAGGGCAGGAACCTGGAGGCAGGAGCTGATGCAGAGGCCATGGAGGGATGTTACTTACTGGCTTGCTTCCCCTGGCTTGCTCAGCTTGCTTTCTTATAGAACCCAGGACTACCAGCCCAGGGATGGCACCACCCACAATGGGCCCTCCCATCCTCGATCACGAATTGAGAAAATGCCTTACAGCTGGATCTCCTAGAGGCATTTCCTCAAGGGAGGCTTTTTTTCTCTGTGATAACTCCAGCTTGTGTCAAGTTAACACACAAAAGCAGCCAGTACACACCACAACCACCCAGCTTACAAAATAATATTATACACACAGACAGTGTATATAACTCTAAAGCATGGTTCTTGGGCCAAAGCATTTCTATCATAAAGCAACTCAAATAACAAACTCAGCCCATGCCAGACCTGAGTCAAAACCCAGACAGGGCCCTGCCACTCACATGGTGATTCTGCAAACTACCACTGTAGATGTCCCCTGTGTTAGCTAAGGTTTGCATTGCTATGACAAAACACCATGACCAGAAGCAACTTCGGGAGGAAAGCGTTTATTCAAGCTTACATTTTCTAGTCCCTCACCCAGGGAAGTCAGGGCAAGAGCTCAAATGAGGAACTTGGAGAAACGGACTGATGTAAAGCCCATGGAGGAACACGGCTTACTGGCTTGCTTCCCCGTGGTGGTTTGCTCAGCCTGCTTTCTTATACCATCCAGGATCACCGACCCAAGGATGGCACCACCACAGTGGGCTGGGCCCTAACTTATCAATCATTACTCAAGAAAACACCCCACGGGCTTTCCCATGTACCAGTCTGGTGGGTGTATCTTCTCAACTGAGGTTTTCCCACTTCTCGAATGACTCTAGCTAGTCTTCAACTGACAATAAAAACTAGCCAGGACATCCCTCCATCGGGTGCCATTTTCCAGCAGGAACTATGAGGGGCATGTAGCAAGGGGGGAGCTGGAGGTACAGCTTGAGGAAGGATAAGAATGGGGGAGGCACTAAGAAGTGGGCCTCAGTTCTCCAAAGCCCTGGACATCAATTTACAGCCACTGTGGGGATGGAGAGAGGGATGGTGATGTTGGGGGTGCTGGGGGCCCCATCAGGATGGCATGATCTAACAGCTGAGTTATCTGGCATGCAGCAAGTTCTGCATAAAGGCTAGCTCTCCTCCACGAAGTGGGTGAGAGGTCCAACGACTGAGTTTTCCATTCATGGAATGCACTGGTTACATCTGTAATGCTACCTTGAGTGTGTGTGTGTGTGTGTGTGTGTAAATCCTGTTAATTACCTCCATCTTCCCATAAGGCTCAGAGAAGTTACTGGCTATCCTCAGGTCACACAGCAAAGACTAGAACCCCCACCCCCTTCTGGTTTAATGCGTGCAAGAGGTGGACGCAGGTGTCTTGGGAGTTGAACGTTGAAAGACGCTTCTCAGCCAGTCCTGGTACATCAGGTGCACCTGCCCAACACACAATCCTCCACACCCAACTCTCTCCCTCCTGTCAATGACCACAGTAGGCTGTGTAGACACTCTGTGCCCCTCCAGGAACAGCACTGCAAAGATGTAGCTGACACTGGCTCCCCGGCTGCTCCGCCTTGGGATTGCACAGGTTTGCAGAAAATGATGCTTTCCTCTTTTATCATTTTTCTTAACAGTTCAGTAATTTTTTTTTAATTTCAGAGAACAACCAGACTCCAGAGTTGCAGAGCAACCAGGGTGACCCTCTGCAGCAGTGCTCCACTCTCAGCTGGGATGACCAGCAGCCTGAGCCTGTGCCCGTTGTCCTGCCTGGAACACCACGCAGGCCTGTTCAGATCGGAACTCAGTGCGGATATGACTTTTTCCTGCAAAGCTTGGACCAGGAGCCTCACCCAGAGCCTTGGCCACACTGCCTGACATGGGCCATAACCTCTGTCCCTGCCTGGTGATTCAGTTGTTTCTCTAGCCCCACCCCTATGTGATGCTAAGTACAGCTATCCAGAGCTCCCTCCAGGGACCAGGCACAAAGCCACCGGTGAGGCCCTTCATGTACAAGGACCCCTCTTCCTACAGAGCAAGAGAGAAGCCGCAGGCCCCACCCTCTTTACTCCACCCCTTGCACCCCAGCCCCCAGATGTGTGGGGGTGATAAGAAAGGGGAAAGAAGGGTTTGGAATAGTCAAATTGTTGACACAGCTCTGGTGAGTCGTCTTGGTGGCCGGGCAGGCTACTTAGCCCATGAGCCTGAGCCATCTGAGGATCCCATGGGAGGGGAGGGAAACAGTTGAAGATGAAAGTAGAGCCCCGCCCCCACCCCACCTGGGGACTGAAGAGATCGAATGTGAGCCTATGGGAGCTTCTGTCCCAGGAATAGGTGAGGGTCAGCTTTCAAGGATGGAGGGGACCCAGTATCCTCACCAGGATGCCTGCAGGACTCAGCAAATAGTTTCAGCGGTCCTCCAGGCCCTCTAGTCTGCCTTCCATCGCGAGCGCTTAATTCCTTTCAGCAGCTTGGGTCCCTGGTGGGCAGCAAATGACCACAGGCCCTCTGGTCCTTTGAGATCCTTCTCTGTGGCTCTCAGACTGCCCATTCGTTTCTGCGGTGCCTCGGACTGCTGGGTCACCTGTCACATTCTGGCCGTGTTTCTCAGACCACGATCTTGCTGTTCTGGTGTCTGTCACTCAGCGCTGGCAGAGAAAGGGCTGCCCCCTTCCCTCAGTCTGACATTGTAAAGGCAGCCAGCTTCCCCTACCCGGTGCGGTTCCTGAGCAGTGGCTGCTCTCCGAAGTGCTGACAGGTACGAGCTCTCATCCAACACACACACACACACACACACACACACACCACGCGCGCGCACACACACACACGAGGTCACGTGCAGATGGACCACCTTTTGGGTCCTCCACCCTGGCTCGTGCGTGCTGCACGACTTGCCCGCAAACCCAAGGGGCCACTCGCAGGGTAGCGCCGTCAGGCTACAGGTTCGGGTCTCGGTGGCTGCACTCGACGCCAGCGTCCTCGTCGTGCTTGCAATTGTGCGTGCCCACGCCAGCGTGCGCGCACTCCAGCAGGTTGCGCTCGCTGCCCGCGCAGCGCACATCGTCCAGCAAGATCGGGAGCGCGCGGCCCTCGCCAAACTCCCCGCGCTTGACGGCTCGCACCGCGTGCGCAAAGCCCAGCTGGCGACACACCACTGCTGCTGCCTTGGTGTCCCAGGCGTCGTCGCACACCGTGCCCCAGCGTCCGCCTACGAACACTTCTACGCGGCCGCGGCCGGGGCTCAGGCCAGCCGGCCGTACCAGGCGCACCGAGCCGTTCTGGGGTTCGGGGACCGCGGTACTCGGACGTCCCCGCCGTCGCCCGCCTCCCTTCCGGGACCCTGGTCGCCGGGTGGGCTTTGCGGGCTTTGTGGGTCGCGGGGTGGGCACAGGGGGAGCAACCGTGGGGCGCCTGCGGCGGGGCGCCTTAGTGGGAGCGCGGACTGTGGGGCGCGGAGTGCTCTCTGGCGTCCGGATGAACTCTACAAAGAGGAAAAGCCTGGGATCAGAGGGAACTGGCTGTCCCAGCTAAGCACAGCCCCCAGCTTGTGCCAGCCAAACAGATCCTAAGGGAAAACTGCCTGGTCCAGCTCCACTCAGACCCTAAGATTAGGATGCCTCTTAGGGAGCCAGCTGTGTTTGACTGGTCTTCCTAACCCCTAAGGATGCTAGCCAAAACAATGTCAGGTACTTCTTCAGTCACAGCGAGCCCTGGCTGGCAGGCAGACACTGTGCCGGCACACTGCTGCTGTCTGCCCCAAGCCCTGCCCTGATGAAGTGGGAAGACCCTGAAATTCAGGCACAATAAGGGAGCTGTCTGGACACCTTACGGGAGCTAAGGACTCACTGCTTCCTGCCATCGGTTTTCCATGAGGAAGCAAAAGCCGCAGAGGGGTTGATGCTAGCAATAGCTTCAGAGTGAGTTCCAAGGCAGCCAGGGCTGCACAGAGAAATCTCATCTCAAGGGAGGAAAAAGGAAAAGGAAAAGGAAAAGGAAAAGGAAAAGGAAAAGGAAAAGGAGAGAGAGAGAGAGAGAGAGAGAGAGAGAGAGAGAGAGAGAGATTTGCAAGTCTGCGAGGCACTTTCTCGATTAACGGTTGATTTAAAGGGCCCATCTCACTGTGAGTGGTGCCAACCCTGGTAAGTGGTCCTGGGAGATTATATATATCTCAAGCTGAGCAAGCCATGAGCAAGCAAGCTAGTAAGCAGTGTTCCTCCACGGCCTCTGCTTCAGTTCCTGCCTTCAGGTTCCTGCACTGAATTCCTTCCCTGACTTCTCTCAGTGACAGACTGTGACCTGAGAGTTGTTAAGTGGAAAGGAAGCTTTTGATCCCGGTGTTTTATCAAAGCGATAGAAGCTCGAAGACAGAAGGACTGCTGGATGGATGATAGCAGGATGGATGGATAATGACTAGATAGTGGCTGGCTGGCTGGCTGGATGGATGGATTCATGAATGGTTGGATGATGAGTGGATGAATTCATGTTTGGATTGGTGGATGGATAATGGATGGATGAGTAGGTAGATGGAACATGATGCATGGATTTATGTTTATGAATGGATGGATGGTGGATGGATGCACTGATGCCTGAATGGGTGAGTGGATAGATGGTGATAGGTGGATGGATGGGTGGATGTATGAATGGATGAGTGGATGGATGGATGGATGGATGGATGG